TAAGTTTATTAATAAAATATTAAAAAAAATTATATGTTTCTTTAAATAGCAATAACTCGAGCTTAATTAGTTGGAAAATATTTTTTTTCGAGCCTAACATACTTCATTTAACATGGGCTTTAAAATGAGACCAATATCGATATACTTTTTACATCTTTTATTAAAATGAGACCAATGTCGATATACTTTTTACAACTTTAAAAATAATTTAATATTTGACTTAACCCTAGTGGACAATAAAAAAACATGATTTTGCCAATTTTCTTATCATCAATAGATTACATAGCAAAAGAACCGTTAAGTTGTCTTTTCTTTTATTCTCTTTTAACTTCAAATATATATATTTTGTATGGAAAATTGAAATATAATAATCGAAATTTTTTCTCTTTAAGTTCTTGTTTGACACATATTCTTTTAAAATACTTTTTTTCAAAACTCATTTTTAACAACACATTCTTCAATAAAATAATATTTTTCATAACATCAATAACTTTTTCTTATTTTTTAACCACACATTTCTTATCATATCACTATTTAAAACACATTATTTCCTCAATAATATCCATCAAACACACCCTAATAGTTAACCTACAAATTCTAATATTTTTGTCGGCAAAAGATATATTTTGTTAGTCAAATCTTTTATTTGGAAAAATACAAAGTTATAAACCGGCACAGATTGGGGGAAGCAAATATTTGCGCGGGGATGATCCAATTTTATAATTACGCCCAGTTTGGTTCACATTATTTTTTTTATTTTCATTTTTTTTACTAATTTTTAACTACATATTTTTCAATAAAATAATATTTTCCATCACATCAATTACATTTCCTTCTTTTTCAACCACACATTTCTCATCACATCAACAATAAAAATGCATTCTTACTTTCAAAATGTGCACCAAACAGAGGCTTAATGTCATCATAATTATTTAATTTGATTTTGTTTTATCATGATCATCCAATTTTATATTTGTATCACTATATCCACCCAATTTAATTTTATTTCAACATAACCACTTAATTTCATATAATGTTTCGTCGTGACCATCTAATTTCATGTGATATTTCACATTTTGCTTTTCAATTTCTTTTCAATATTTTCACTAATTTTAAAAGGAGTAAAACGATAACTTTGTATTATATAAAATATAAATTTAAAAAAAAAGTTTTTGTTTAAAATTTTAAAAAAGTTTACTTTAAAATAAGTTTTTATTTTACTTTAAAAAACATTTTTTCTTTAAATAAGTTTTTATTTTATTTTATTTTTTAAGTAACTTTTTTTAAAAAAATAACATCTTATTTTATTTTTCTAACTAACTTTTTTTAAATAAGTTTTTATTTTATTTTATTTTTTAAGTAACATTTTTAAAAAAAATAAGTTTTATTTTAATTTTTTAAAATTATATATATATATATAATCAAATTGAGTGGTCATGGTGACATTAAATATAAAGTTGAATGGTGGTGGATATAACCTTTGTTGTTGCATGCAAAAAGAATATTGTCAGCGTGGATCTTCAACTATCAGCAAGTATAGCAATTTGACTCTTAAATCTTTAAAAAAGATGGACTAATTCTTAGCGTTTTTATAACTTGTTTGGTACGGATTAAAATTTAGGTTTTAATCTAAATCAAAATTAAAGTCAATAATTAATTTTAATCACATATTTCATAGGACCCCCAATTTTTCAATTACTTATTTTATCAACTTTTTATCAAAATCTGCTAAAAATCTAATTTTAATCATCACCAAATAATGGCTTAGTTTTGTCGCTCTAGGGTCTCTCAAGGTGGACAATTACATTTTGAAGGCTGTTAAGTCCCCATTTGACAACCATTATACGAGGAAAATAAAGTTTTGAATAGCGATTTTTAAGAGAGTGTTTGGTTAAAAAGTAAGAAAAATTTTGAATTTACTTGCATAGTATTTTATTGTGTGAATGTGTGATTAAAAATGAATACTTCGAAAAAGGAGTTTAAAAAAATGGTTGTCAAAGAGGGACTAAAATGGCATAGGTAAGGTATGGGCAAAACTCTCATAATTATAGCATAGAATTTAAAAGATAAAGTACAAATATGTCATCTTTATTAAGCTCCTCTTTGATCCCTATTTTCTAAAAACTCATTTTTCGTCAAACCTTATTTTCAATTACACAATCTCCCAATAAAATAATTTTATACATAAATTCAAAACTTTTATTTATTTTTTAATCACATATTTTTCAAAAATATTACTATTTCAAAATCTATTTTCCCAAAAGTTGGAATCAGACAAACCCTAATTACCTTTGCCCCATCCCATAACAACTAACCCATCCCAAATGATTTTGTTTAGAATAATGATATTGATGAAGTACTTAAAATGGTATTAAGTGATTGTTTATTTAAGATGTTCAATCGTGTAAATGACACCTAAATAATTGATCATTAAGTCTAGACGAATATAGTTACTCCATTCATCTCCCATCCCCATGGTTTCAGTACCCTAGACCATTTCCGTTCTTGTTTTTGTGCATAAACACGAGTCTTTATATGTGTATTATTGTTTGTACTATGCACGGAAAATGATTTTTTTTTCTTATTTTTATTCGAATTAAATTGATTGTCGAACCTTAATTTAGTTAAATTTTGAATTTAAAACATCATTTTAGAGGCATATGGACGACTACTGAGCCACAAAGTTGGAAAGTTGAGAATTGAAATTTTATAACTTAACTCAGACCAAAATTGCCATAAGACTAAAGGCTAAGGACTACAGCTATAATTTTTCCAAAGATAAAATCCAAAACCGAATGTACGAAATAATATCTCAAATTCCCAGGGTAGACTAAGGCTAATGTTGTCCTTCTATTCATCCTTGGTGACTTGGTGCCAACACATTCTTGTTTTTTTTTTTTTGTGAAAATAACTCCTCCAATGTTGCATCATCCAATACTCGCCTTGTGACACGGAACGTCTATAAAAAATGATTTCGTTAAGATGTGAGATAAGCAAAACTTGGAGTCAATTTTACGCCACCTTAAAAATTTGTTGATAAGATTGCTTCTGGAAGGTGTAGCATAGGGCTGACTTTATACATGCAAGTCGGCCATTGTTTTCTCTATTTGAAGAGAAAAAGGGGAAAAAAAATCCTTAAATTTGAATCTCGACGTACGATAATAAAATTTAATAGTTCTTTTAGGATAGATGCAGACATTGTTGCGACTTTTCATGACATGTAGAAATTCATTGTGCAACTCATCTCTTTTCCGTTTCGAAATTCGATCCATTTCTGGTGATCGATGAGACAATGTAGAATTAGGTAATGGGAATCAGACCTGATCTAATATACGAAATTTTTAGTAATACGATGTTGTGTTTGATGGATGTTATTGAAGAAAGAATGTATTTTAAATAATGATATGATGATAAATATGTAATTAAAAAGTAAGAAAAAAGTTATTGATGTAATAAAAATATTTGAAATAATGTATTTTGTAAGAATGTGTACCAAACAGGGACGTTTGGCTTCCACCCGTCAACAACGAACTCAAAGATGGCCTTTATGTATGAGCTTTCTTGCATTTTTCGTTTACCAAGGGCCACAATTCCATCTTTAAGAACTAAGGAAACAACTTCTTGTGTCTTGCATATTGAATCTAGTCCAATATCACGTTCACCGAATGCCTAATTATTTTCGTACTATCTCGAAATGGTCGAACCCTGAGAATTATAAAGCCCGCATGAGTCCATGTCACCTAAAAACGACAACATAGTGCATGCTTTGTTAAAGCTGCCTTATTGAAAGGTGAGGCTCGTTAACCTTCGTGTAACCTTTCGTGACTTTTCGAAGACGCAATGAATATTCAATAATCATAGTATCTGAATAAATCCTCAATAATCATTATAGACAGAGACAGATCCAGGATTAGATCCAAGACCAGGCTACAAAATTTCAAATCGGGCTAATACGCGAATTTTTTTTTTTTTTTTTACGCATGAAAAACTGTTTTAAGAAAAAAACCTTACAAAGTGTAGAGGGACCATTGCCATGTCAGCATCTATCTGTTAAAAAGAACAGAAACCATCTAGCGAAAAATCTACTCAAAAATAACCACTTCACCTATGAGAGGATGGCATGTGTGCACAAAACACGTAAATAAAAACTTCAATGATAAAAATGTTGGGGAATGCCATTTGTATACTGCAAAGTGTACATCATGTTAAACACTTTGTTTGTTTTAAAAAAATTGTTGAAAGAAAAATTATTTATTTTCTTAAATTGTCAAATGACAGTTTGCCATGACAAATTGTCAAACTTGGTGTCCATTAAAACCAGAACACGTGTCCCGAAGGAGATAAAAAACCATAATGCCGTCTCTAAATGTCTATAAATGATTCATTGTTCAGAAGAGAAGGTCAGAAAAATCTACTAGCTGCACTTCTTATTCATTTTGCTCCCTCCTACTAAAGGTTTTGTAAGTTTGGCTTTTAGAAGCTTTTCTGGTGACTTACTTGGACCTCTGCCTAGGTATGTTGCCGTTAGCCTCTAACGATTTATTCGTGTGTAGCATGAGAGTTGGTCAAAGGCAGGGTCGGCCTTAAAATTTTGGGTGCCCTGTGCGACATTTTAAAATGATACCGCTTTATGTAATTAAAAAACTTACGGGCATCAATAAAAAAAAAACCTTGAAATGGTGCCTCTTTCGCGTAACTAACAATTTATCCTTTTAAAACAAAAAATTTACCCTTCTCGAGTAAAAAATATATTTGTGCCCCTAAAATGCTAAGGCCTTGTGCAGTCGCACCACGTGTGCACCCTCAAGGCCACCTCTGGTCAAAGGAAGCACGTTTAGGATATATTGGCAGATGGAGCAAATTTGGCCATCATCAACTGAGTATTTGAAACTAACAATAGTAAATGTCATAGCTCTGATCGATAACAAAGTCAAGAGTATATATAATACATGTAGTCGTGAAAGTTCGGTGTCTAAAAAAAGAACACGCAGATACCAATATCAGAAAATCAAATAAAGTTTCCGCAGCAACACACGGACGAAACAAACTATTAATAAAGAAAACAAGAAGAGAAAGAAATGATCATAGCTTTGCATGTATGGGGTCCGCGAAGAGCGAGTTTTATGATCATATTTCATATGCTCCCTTGGTCGTAGCTGGTAAAAATTATATCTTTCCTCTGTCTCAAGTGGTTCGACCTGATTTGAATTGTGCTTGCTCGTCTCAATTGTTTTATGTATCGGACCAAATGATCCATCCAACATTAACGTGTCGCCGCTGGTGTTCGACTTTCTGCATTGTGGCAGTGTATTTGCTTCGTCGTTTTCTCTCTTTGAAGTGTCCTCTGGTGCTCTCATATCACTCAAGTCCCGTGACAATTTTCCATCGCCCTCACTTTCTATTGATGCTTTTGTTGGCTTACTTCAAGATGTAATAAATAACAAGACAATAAATTATTTTAATGAAATATGTAAAAGAAGAGGTTATTATGCATTTCTAATTATTTCTAGTTCTTAAAACATATATTTCTAGATTCCTTTTAGAGTTTGATATAAATTACTCTTTACTCATATAAGAACAAGAGAGTTTGAAATTTGATTTTTAACAAAACGAAACAGGGGCTATAACTCCACCAGACTTGCTGAATGATGAGTGCCCTTTTCTTGTCTAGCGGAGCGTGGCGATCTTCCATGACCCCTCCATTCCATAAATGCTTTCACACAAGGATATACACAATTATTCCCTTCTATATATGTTTTGAATATATATATATATCTTTCTCCATGTTATTTCATAATGTTCTACTGTAATTTTCTTCTAGTTATTCTAGTAGAACTAAGCATCACTTTCCTACTTCTTAAACCTTTTTTTCTAGTAATTAGGTCACCATTTCTACCTATTTACCAATAGAGTTGTCCCAATGCTTCCCAGTGTTTAAATAAAGCCTATTTGGAGCTAGATAACAAGTAATATTCCGCTCTTAAAAGCCACATGTAAGGCAAGTTAAATGCAACAATATACTTGCCGACTTCAATTTCCGTATGGGTAAGGCAAGTAAATGTTCTATGTAGATAACTTCCTGTTCACGGTAGCAAAACATAAGTCACTTGTGCCCTTTTTCAGGTGGTGATGGAGGCAATCACGAGTACTTCAATGGTTAAGTTAGTGAACAGTGAAGAAGAAAGAAATAACACAATCGAATTTCAAGATAATAGAGCAAAGTGTATGTTTTAGTGTATAGAATTGCAATACCTTTGAAATGGCAATAATTGTGGGTATTTATAGGGAAAGAGATGGATTTGGGACCGTTGGATAGAAGGACACGTGGCCGCATCTGTTAGTCGAGGCGTCCTTTCCTAGGTATCAATCAATTAGTCCCTAGACGAACTGGCATTTAATACTCCCTAATGAGTGTATTTTGTGACATGACCTTTTGGCGTTTGTTGCATAAACATCAAATCAATCAGTCGTGTGGATCTTATTTTGGCTATGTCCTTGTACAAAAGATTCTGTATTTAATATAGACAAGGTTCCAACAATGCTGTTCCATTTCTTACCACTTCGGCGTATATCCTTTCAAGTAGTATCACTTCGACGCCTCAGTCATCGCGGATATACATGTGGACCGCTTCACCTCGGTACTTCAGTGTTGCGGGGTAATGTGCGGTGCAGACCTTGTTGTTTTTCTTAGCTGGCTGCCACATGGGTGAAATCTGGAGCCTCTTCATAAGAGGCGTAACAATAGTCTCTCAAGTCCATGTATGAATATTTATATAATGTGTGGACTTTCAATATAGGGTTGAGATGCATTGTCTCGGAATATTTTACCTTTTGTTGTGCATTTGAAATTTTTAGCCACAAACAAATACAATTTATTCCCCTAATTTCATGTATGGATATTTATATATTGCTTGGACTTTCAATGGGGCTGTGATGTGTCTGGTTATTTGAGGATGAGGCTTTGAATGATTACAACTTTGAGAAAAGTTGTGAAGGTAGAGGCAAAGGGGACCTTGACTGTCAAGGTCTAAGCCGATGAGATATTTTATTAGGTTGTGTGAAAAATGATTTGAAAGCCATTGTACGTTTCCAAGAAAACCAATTGAAGCGTCCCATACTTCCAATGCAGGCGTATTTTAGGTCATTACTGCTAATCATGGCGGCGACACGCTTTATGCGAGTGTGAGTTGGGCTGTTTTATCTTAGCTGTCAAGCATGTTTGGTGTTTAATCTTAACAGTGCAGATTCATCGATGAATGAATAGCCCAGATTGACTACGACTTCATTTGATGGCTAGGATTTGCAACCTTTGGCTATAAAAGGTTTCTTTCACATTCCTTAGGCCTTTTACTTGGCAAAATTTTGAAATTGCAAAGGCATTTTGCTAAAGACGAATCTCCGGCAAACTTCTTCAAGCATTCTGGCGACAATTTCCATCTTCCGGCAATCTAGCACCTCAGCAACACCCTCAGTTTAGATAACTTTCATAGTTTTTATTTCTCCATTTTTTCTCTTTTCGTTGAAGAAATGGCTGCTTCTAGGATTCTAGCGAGGCGGGTGAGGGTAAGTTAGTTTTGGTAGCCTCGGTTTTGAGCGAATCCATTACTTTGTCTATAGACGAGGTGTAGAAGGCCATAATGGGTGGGGAAAATATATGGAAAAGACCCGATAGCCCAGTAGAAACTTCGATTCATTGGGGGGCATCAGATTACCCATCATCGATGACCACTACTGATCTCAAAAAACATAGGGTGGATTATAGGATCCCAGATGATATAGGGTTGATAGTGCCCAACCCTGATGAGCGTGCGTGCTACCCGAGGTCGGGGTGCGTTGCTGTTCGTGAGGCCATTTTCAAAGCTGGTCTTAGGTTACCTTTACACCCATTTTTTCTCTTCATACTGATGCCTTATGGCCTTGCTTCGACCCAGGTGAACCCGAACCCGTGGAGTCTGATGGTAAGGTCTTGGATGGTGTGGTGTGAGGCGTCGTACGGGGTGAAGATGCCCTTTTACGTCTTCTAAGCCATTTACTTGCCAAAAGTGACAGCTGGGAGAGACAAAACGAAGGAGTGGTACCATATGACGTCCGGGGGGCTCACACCCCATTTGTCATCCACCTGCCGAGCTCCATCAAAACCTGGAAGAGCTCATGGTACTTGGCTTCTGGATGATGGGACATAATGGAGGGTGACCCCCTGGCACCTTTGACGGTGCCTACGAAGTTCTCGATATTTAGTGAGTACCTCTTAGGAACCGGATCTCTCCTCTTATCATTTATTACTTCGTCTTCTGACCTTTTCAGCCTCCTTTTTGTAGGTTTGTTACCTCGGTGAGAGCTGTCTATTGAGGACTTCGATACAATTTGCATCATATATAAGCTCCCTCATAAAGAGAGATCGTACGACAAGCTTACAAAAAACAACATTCGCTTCGTCAAAAACGGTTAGATGGCTTCCCAAGGTAAAAATCGAACTGCCCTTGTTACTGCATTTAAAGTTGGAATTGGTCGAGGTGCTAACACTAATACTTTTTACAGAGGATTTTTTTGAAGAAAAGGCCATTACAGCCTGATTTCGCGACCATCAAGAGGATGATGGCCGAGGCACGCGCCTTGAAGACTACCTCTGCGGCATATAAAAAACAAACAGAGGAGCTGGTAAACGCCAGCAAGAGGCTTCCTCCAACGAATGAGGACAAAGAGGGGGAAGATGAGTAGCCTCTGAAGAAGAAAGTCAGGCACGTTGGTGACAATCTGGAGTCTCTTCATAAAAGGCATAACAATACTAACTATCAAAGCCTTATAAACCACCACGCTTAAATTATGGTCATCAGTAAATTTTTACAGCAATCATTTACCTTAAAAATTCATTGGTAATTACGATTATTGAGGAGCTTTTGTTTAATAATATGCAAAATAATTATTGACTCAAAAGAGAGAATATAACATACCTGCCGGCCGTGGAAACGCAAGGATAATAGTCTTTCTTCTGAGACATTGCTCTGCGCAAAAATATCAGAGTTCATTCACCACATTTTTTTTTATGTCTACCTACCAATGTTTTACTTCGGAGACTTTTAACATAGCGCGTTTTCTACGTAAAGTCTCTTTGGAAAAAGCTTAAACGCGACATTGGTGAGACTTTGACTCTATTGTCTGCAGTTTTGAAAAACAAGGGGAAGCTGGAGTCGCAAAGTTTTCGTCTCCGTTCCTATCAACGCGTTAAGGCTGTCTCTTTGTTTCTAGGAAATAGCTTAACCGCGTTGATGACAAAAAACAAGATTGGTACCAATGAGCTTGATTCTCTTAGCATGATGGATAAATTTATTCATCTATGAGAAGTGAGAACCAAGGGCCAATTATTTTAACCCGATGACGGATATTTTTATAAATAATTTAATTTATAAATAGATAGATAAAACATTTTCACGAATGTTTTCAGATCCCATTGTACAAGACACTTGTACACGTTGTTTCCATGAACATTATTGAAATCGTTCTATTAATTTTAAGTAGAAAAAATGGTCCATGTAATATAACTCAGAAAATTATTTGAACATGTTTGAAAGTAGTTTATTTGCCTTATAAGCAATTTTTAACTTTTAGCTTGTGTTTGATAACTATTTTGGGGAAAAATGAATTCTGGAATAGTGATTGATGGAATAATGTGTGGTTGAAAAGTAATGAAGAGTTTTAGATTTGTGTGTAATATTATTTTATTTGGAGAATATGTGATTGAAATGAGAAAGAAAAAAATGAAAATAAGAATGGGTGTCAAACATGGCCTAAAATCGTTGTCGAATGGGCTTTAATTAGTGAAGAAGTGGATTATACTTAGAGATTAATTGAAATATGTTATTGAAAATGATTGAACATTTATAAATAACTAGCCACAGCTAAACGTGCCATGCACGTTATTTTAAAATACTTTATAAATACTGTAAAAATGATATTTGAAAATCAGTGAATATAAAAAATAGTTAAAAAACTGTTTATGTAAAATGATCTTTTTATATAATTCAATTATTTATTTACGTGTATGATAATAATTTACATTAATTTATATATATCCTATTATAATTCAATCAATTAATTTTTCAAGTTCATGNCTTCAAATTCATGCACGTACACTTTATATATTTTGTAGTTTATTCAATTACTCTAAAAATACTACAATTCAATTATTTATATATGTTCGTGTATAATAATTAACATTTATTTGTGGATACATTAAATATAATATTAAGTCATCAAGTTCATGTACACATGTTTTGAGAGTTATTCAATTATTCTATGAGTAAATAAATTATTCAAGTTCATGTACACTTATTTAATTTCAATATTATTTATTTAATTTATGATATAAAGCCATTTGTCTAAATGTATATAAATTATTTTTTTCTATATTCATTGATTCAAATTAATTAAATTTCATTTTAGTTCATGTACACCCCTTTATTTAAATGTATATAAATTATTATTTTTCTATATATATTAATTCAAATTAATTAAATTTCATGTTAGTTTACTTACACCCCATTTGTTTAAATGTATATACATTTTAGTTTTATATTCATTGATTCAAATTAGTTAAATTCCATATTCATGAATCAATTTGATTGTTCTCAAACAATTCAATTATCGATTTGTGTGTATGTTTAATAATTAATATCCAATTAAATATATATTGAAAAACGAAAAGTAAGGTACTATTGAAATAATTAAATTGTAGTAGGACTAAAATTGTTCAGAAAATGATTCTCGCTTAATTTGATATTTAATATATTATTATAGATTAAAAAAAATTGCCGGAGAATTCATGTGAAACTTTCAACTGAATAATTTACTTGGTAATCATCTTGGCAATCAGTGTCGAAGTCCACAGCTTCTGCCACTTGCATTAACGTTGATAGAAATAAGAATAAGTACCTTTTGTTGGTAGTATATAATACTCTTTAATTTCTTTTTAAGTAGAAATGTACAAATGTATTACACTTGTATGCATTTCAATTTTGTAAGTTGCCAAACAAGATTAGTATATGCATTATGAAGAATAATGTCATTTATTATTAGAATGATGGAATATCGATGATATTGCAGTATATGTCGAATAATGGGATTTTGACAATTTAGCCCATGTTTGATAGCCTTTAAATTGGAACTCTTTTTTATACATACTCATTTTCAATCACACTTTTTAGACAGTAAATATATTATGTCCGTAAGTCCAAAAATTTTCCGTAAACCACAAATTTTTCAAAAATTGATTATTCAAAACAATGTTTTTTTGTAAATAATGGCCACCAAATATGAGCTTAGGGTTGTGTATCTCAAGCTTATCCACCCCTTCCTTTTTTAGCCCCCTATTTGACAACCATTATTTTAAAACTCTTTTTTCTATATACTCACTTTTAACCACACATTTGCACAATAAAATGTTCTGTACGTAAATTCAAAATTTTTCTTACTTTTTAACCATTTATTTTCCTTAAAATCACTATTCAAAATTTTATTTTTCCCAAATAATGATTGTCCAACGGGAACTTTTAAGTTAAAACTTAAAAGATTGTCAAAGATTTGGCGGGAGCGCCTCTAAAACTCAATTGGGGGGGGGGGGGGGNGGGGGGGGGGGGGGGGGGGGGGGGGGGGGGGGGGGGGGGGGGGGGGGGGGGGGGGGGGTGGGGGGGGGGGGGGTTTTGTTGTACCCTTACTATCTATTGATATAAAAATGGAACACAAAGGGAAACAAGACATTTCATCTTTACATGCATGAAAAGGGCAACCAACAAAATTATTAAAGGCAACCCTGATGAAGATTTATAGTATAATAAATATTATTTTAATTATTATTTCTTTTTATATAATGTTGTTCAATATTACTTGTTAGGAATTTAATTAATCTTGTACAGCTGAAAATAAAAATAAATTTAATTTTCACCAAAGAGCTATTGCGCTGCGGGCAGTAGCAGCTCTCGTTCGTGCTCGTGCTGGCAGCAGTGGTCACCGACTTTTACCTGATCCGTCCTTCAACCCTGTTTTTTAATTGACCAAAGTTAATTTTCGTTTCCAAATCAGATTTATAACTAGAAAATCAATTTTTCTTTAAAAACTAGAAACAAGAAAAATAACAACAATCAACTTTTGATTATTATATGATGCGAAACAATTTCTAACAAACACAAAGTAGGTTTTGTTACCACAGTTGTGAATTGACTAAATCATGAACAGCGGAAAATAAAATAATTTTCAATTTTCACCAAAGATTTGCTTTGTGTTTAGATAGAAACTGTGATATGAATTATACCTTTGTTGAATTTTGAAAATCCATTTGCGTATCATGAATACGAATAATCACAATCTACAATTCACAGCCGTCCAATTTAAAGGCTATCAAACATGGGCTAAATTACGAGATGTGGAGTGTATTAATCTCAATTATCGATCGTATCTTTCATCCCACTATAAGACAATGTCAGTTGAAAACTCTTTTCGACTTATGAGTACACATTGGCCAGGATTTCGTTAACTAAATGAAATGTAAATCATAATCTCTTACTATCTAAGAGTGACGAATCATCTATTGATCATTTACAACTTTCATATGATTCTTGACATACCTGAACGATGTCGTATTAATGACTTAACAAAGCAACATCCAATATCACCAAAGCAAGAATGTCCCCATATAAGTTACGATGACTTCAAGTTAAATGACCAATTTTACTATCAAACGTTAGAGATTAACCGCTGACACTCGGATAGATATTCATGTGAAATCTCTCCAGTAGGTTTCCAATGTTCCATTCTTCTCATATTCATTTAAATGTCACTACATTTTAGATTGTGAGATCAACTATTTACTTCAAAAGTGAGAAATGCCACACGTGATGATCTAACCGTAATAATGATATTTGTATCTTGTCAATTCTTACGATCATGGATAATTCAAGATTCAACTATATGTAATTTGTCTCTTACAATCACAACTATTTGTGATTAACAAGTTACCAAAACTTGAATTTTCGAATTCTATTAATTTAATAATTAGAAAGTATATTCAATTAAAAAATAGATCTCGCCAAAATATAAAATGCATTAAACATATTAAAAGTATTTACAACATAAATCAGTTGGATTTAGAGCATAACACTTACATTACTAAACATGTCTTTAGCCATTGTTTGATTCAGTTATTTTCAAAATACATTTGTTGACGTCGAAAATTGTATAAACAAAATTCTAGCTAACTTCAAGTGTAAATAAGGATTTTTATTGATAATTACTTACAAACTACAAGTGTTTTTATCAAATGAGATATTTGAAATATGAAGTTGTTAGGCTTCTTCCTCTCCTTTCCCTAAGGATACCATCCTCATTTTTATAAGAAATGATGAGCCTGTATCTTTCATATTCATATCTTATCAACAATAGTACCGAGCTGAGAACTTGGGTCAATGGCTTAAATCTTGATTGATTGCTGTCAAATCAATATACAGTACCGAGTTGAGAAGATACGCCAATGACATATCCCGATTGGTTGCTGAGGTCGGCTCCATCAAGTTATCATGAAGCCATCTTAAATGGGGTCCCCAGTAATTAATGAACTGATTAGAGAATGAAGGTATAGCATATGATTGGTGGAATTGGTAGGCGTTGACGTAAGTCTTTCCAAATGTCATTAATTGATTGAATGTTTTGACAGTGTGTAAGAAATCTACAATCATTATGTCCTCTCAAACCACGATGGTCATAAGTACGAGCTGACCTTACAGATCTGACCTTAATTTAGCATGAGCTAATTGTATATAACAAACGAATTTAAATAGGTCACGATCGGATGTTGGAACATTTTTCTCTCTTCTTTTCAACCACATATTCTTTAGTAAAATAATATTATACGAAAATTCAAAACTTTTCCTTATTTTTTAACAAAACATTTTCCATCAATCTATTATTTTAAAATACATTCTTCAATAAAAATGGGGCTCAAACAGACTC